TGTCCATTTTCTCCCTGAAAACGGCTCCTCCTGCAAGAGTTCACTGTGTGGGAAAAGGCAGATATTTCTCCTCAGAGTTAGAACTCCCGACTGAGAAGAGATTAGGCTGGCGCTCCCCACCCCCCTTGTCCTTCCACTTCCAAGCAAAAGCTACCCTGGCTTTTGGGAATTGGTCGGCTGCTGACGAACAAGCTTTTAATTGGGCCAATGCTTAATTTCTTTTTCTTTTACTGCTCCACCTGTTTGTAATGGTTTCCTCTATTGTGTGTGTTCATTTCACTTGTGTTGTTTTCTTGCAAGAGGCTTCAGGTCCCCGTTATGGGAGAAAGGCAGGATGATAAAATTGGAGCCATGAACTGAAAACGAACGAAGAGATGGGTTTTTCAGAGGGAGATATTTCTGGAGGACAACTGTACCAGGAAGGGTCAAACCCTCCTTACTCCTCCCCCAGCCCTCGGGACCCAATTCCACCGTCACCTCCCGCATTCCCAGCTGCCCTTAACATCCTTCCCCCTCCGTCCCAGAAGGACAACTGCAGGAAATGTGCCTCATCCTGGCTCTGTGGCCCTCGTTCTTTGACCTCTGGCTTCCTGGCCCCCAGGGTCAGCCAGAAAAGGACCGTGTGTCAAAAGGGCATCGGGGCAAAAGAAGGCTAGGCTGCCGGGGCCCCATCACAATGGGGGGAAGGCAAACAACCGTGAGACCGGAAACGACACTCACCCGAGCAGGAGGCTTGACATGACCCCCTCCATCCAAGGAGGTGGAGGCCAGCGCAAGACCTCCAAAGAAATAGCTAAGCCAGGCAGTCCGCTGGAGGGAGTTGTCCGGAAGGCGTGGATCTCTGCCTCCCAACATTTAACGCAGGGAGAGAGATTTTTTAAAAAAAATGTTGGGAGATGTAACTTTTGAGGGCTAAATGCCATCGCTACTCCCTGCCCAAGTTGACTTATTCAAGTCAAGAAGACACTTAAAAAAATGTTTTACCTCACCTCTCTCCTTAAATAAAGGCCATAAAGTGGCTTGTGTCATCAAAAAGGCAACATTGAAAGTACATTATTAAAATATCCAGAAAGAATTAATAACATATTTAAAGTGTTAGGTAAAACCACTACAACCCCACACACACACACACACAACCAGATTTAGAAGCAACAAAATACAAACTAAGGATTTATTCATTGACAGGACTTTGTTCATAAAATGGGTCTCCTCTAATGCTTGTGTTGGACCCTTGGAGGAAAGCTCCGAGACTTACCCAATTCAATGGGGCCATCCGGGGTGGGGATTCTGGGACTTGCAGTCCAAACACATCACTTTTCTAAGCTTATGGGGTGGGGGGGAGAAAGTTTTGGGGAGCGTGTCTTGATTGCCTGCTGGCAGGCAGCCCACCCATCCGTGTTTGCCTCCAAGGCCCCCCGTTGTTTCAGTTCTTACCTTGGGTCATTTCTAGGGTTCAATACCGAACCAAACAGACCAGTCTGAACGGCTGG